TATGGTTTTCGCCCTTTACGAGCTCTTGTTATCGCGTGCGTGTTGCGACACATTTTGATACGTTTTGATATCAGGTTTTTTAATTATTCTTTTTAAATGTTAGAAGAGTTAGAGACCGAGATTCTGAGTAATTTTTGAAAATAACGTTGAAATTGTTTATTTGAAATATTCGATTGATTGTAATTAACCCTTCGTTGGTAATTGGGGTCATTAATGACCCAAGCGAAACGTCACTCCTGTATATTTTCCGGGGGAATTTTTATTTTTATTGGAAAAAATTTGGAATATTTCGTTTGACGAATAATTGTGCAATGTAGTAGAGACTTGGATAAGTGTCTTGGAATTTTTTCGGGTGTTTTGAAAGCCTGGAACAGTATCTGAAAAAATTAGACTCGAATATAAACGATCTGGTTTGCCTATGTAGGTCTGATGTTATTTTAAATATACTACAGTTTGACTGGATTATTATTATTGTAAATTTATAATATACGAGAACATTGGAACTTGAATCGTTAATAAGAAATCTTCAATCGGCAATACGTAAATGTTTATTTAAGCTTATCTCTTCGTGGATCGTCAATTTAAATACAAGCTTTGCTAATAATTTTTTCAATTTTAATAATTTCCGTTTAATTGTTAATATCAAATTTATGAATATATCATAGATATAGTTATTAATAATCTGAACTGAATTTTAATTTCGGTAATTATCTGCGAATATTAAATTTGTATAATTAAATTAAATTAATTAACTTGGAAATTCTGTTTAACCGCTGTTATTAATACTGAGGCGTAAGGGTTGATTTTCATATGTACTAAATTAAAAATTGTATTTCTATTTTTCGTATTATTATTTTAGAGTGTACTGCCGTTTTCTTCGTATTTTTGGATTAAAGGAATAATTGATTTCTGTATAGATACACTGTACTACTTATTTCATATATTATACTACTCGCGAATTTTCTTTCAAAAGTATTTTCTCCTGTACCATCGACTCGTTCTCTGACAGAACTTATCTCTCGTATATTTCACGTATTGAATTTATTTCTCACGTAAAAGTTACCATTCCATAAAATATCCTATCAACCGACAGACGCTTCTCCAAACCGTTTAACCCCTTAACGCTCACACTTTTACCACTCGATGTGACAGAAACCGATCAATTTTATTTTTCTTTCAACAATTTTCTAAACGTACAGAAATAACTTTCTCGTTATCTACAATACCGTAACTCGTATTTTTGCCGCAATAGAAAAACGAAAGAAGATAATTAAACGAAATTGCATTTATTCGACGATTAGAATTGTGTTACACAAGAGCGTATTTTATGTGCTACACTAATTCACTATTATCGCACGATAAGCTGCAACAGAAGCTAAAAGAAAGCCATCTAAAGTACACTCAATTATACCGTAACGACTGTACATTAACATCAAAGCTCGTTTAACATTAATATCTCATTTCTCATTTCCTGTCCAGAGGAAATAAAATAATCGTGTATTTCTCTTTTTGCGCCGTCTGACAGGAGTATCTTGCTGAAGACTGAACAATTTCACGTCTATCGTAAATGTTGAAACATTGTTCTCGTCGATCGTTAACGCTTTTACTTTAACCTGATTCTTGGCAGCGAGAGCAATTAAAATGCAGACTATGGTGAGCTCGTGTCAAAGGGCAATGACTAACGTGTCTTTGATGACGAAGATACCGGCGAAAGATGTACTATATAGACGTGATATGTAGGATGAATCCATATTTCATTCGGGCACACCGCATCGCGGCCGGTGACGTCTTTAAACAGACATGATTATTATCACTGTCTCTACGTATACCATGCTGATCGATACCATTGTGCACGAACGTTTTTGCTTTGAGCTTCAATTTGGCCTGGTTTCACAAGCAAAAGCGTTCCTCTCCTCGTTGTCGACGGTTTGTAAAAAGGCGAGGAGAAGGGGTCTTTTGTAATATCGACGTGCCCTCGTTCGATGCTCGTTTTCGATACAAATTATGCCCCCGAGGCTTGTCGAATTTTCAATCGATGGATCCATGGATTCTCGCACAGACGAAAACAAGGTGGATGGAAATTGCCCGAACGTAAGATAGAAGGCGGAGAGAGGCTTACAAGGGAGTACGATAATGTGACAATCGCCGAATTTTGTGAAACTTCGATAGGTGTATGAGATACTCAGGAGCCAAAGTGATTAAACTTATTAAAGAGCGTTAAATTTATTAAATTTATTTTGTTTACGAAGAGTTAAGCACTAAAATTGGAAGAATTTCAAAAAGTGAAGTTAATCATTTTTGGCTTCTGAGCGGCTCATATACAGGGTGAGTCTTCTAACATGACGACTTCAAATAACTCGTAAGTTATTCGTTGTACGAAAAAATGTTTCAAAGAAAATTTGCATGGTATCTAGGGGGATATAGAGTGCTCTAATCTGTTTTTTATTACCTTACTCTTTTATTGAGATATTAGGGTCACATTCAGTTTTTTAAATGGAATGTCTAATACTTTTTTTCGATTTCGGATAAATCGTCAAATTTTGCGTAAAAAAGTATTATTACAAAGTGGGACTTAAAACGAATAATTACCGAGATATCTTCAAATTAATAATCTTCTATTAGGAAATACGCTCAGCCAACGTGATTCTTAGCACGACTTTGTTTACTTGTTTTATAAATATCTCAGTAATTATTCATTTTAAGCCCCACTTTGTATCATACTTTTTTGCGCAAAATTTGACGATTTATCCGCATTCGAAAAGAAATATTAGACGTTCTATTTAAAAAACTGAAGGTGGCCCTAATATCTCAATAAAAGAGTAAGGTAATAAAAAACAAATTATAGCACTGTATGTCCCCCTAGATACCATGCAACTTTTCTTTGAAACATTTTTTCGTACAACGAATAACTCATGTCGTCGTGTTGGGAGGCTCACCCTGTACATAATAGCAGTTCTCGAGAAATTTCTTTATATCGACAATCGTCCACAGTGAAGGGGTGAAAATCGTCCTCGAAGTTGTGGGTAGTAAATGTATTCAGTCTAATCTCTGGAAAATTACTCCAGATAAAGGAATAGTGTAAATGGACGAGTTTTGTATTTTTCGCCAACAAATTTCTTTACTACCCTTATCTTTGAGGGTGGTTTATTTTTCTCAGCACTATCGTGCACCAAAGTTTCATCGATATTGGACAGTTTCGTGAAAAGGAAATCAGAAAAAAATCTGGTCGTGTAAATTTTTGTGTAACTTGCAGTGCATAGTGATTTCAAATTTTTGGCCGGAAGTGTTATATAGCGTTGATTTCTTGCGTAATGTGTTTTCTTATATTCTTAGTAATTTTGAATAATTGTCTTTAAATTGTGTAAAGATACGTAGCAAGTGAAAATTCCAGTTTCTTCTAGCTCTTTTAGTTAAAAATTTCTCCTCGCTAACCCCGGTAAAAATATCTCACTAAAATCTTACAGTCGAATTCGCGTAAAATGTGGCCTTCCCGTCATAAAATAGGGACAAGTTCAGTGAAACTT